GATGGATGGATGGATGGATGGATGGATGGTTGGATGGATGAATGGATGGATGGACGGAAGGATGGATGGATGGATGGATGGATGGATGGATGGATGGATGGTTGGACGGACGGATGGATGGATGGATGAAAGAACAGAAAGATGGATGGATGAAAGAACAGATAGATGGATGGATGGATGGATGAAAGAACAGATGGATGGATGGATGGATGGATGGATGGACGGACGGATGGAGATAGATGGATGGATGGATGGATGGATGAATGAAAGAACAGATAGATGGACAGACGGACAGATGGATGGATGGACGTACGGACAGACGGATGGATGGTTGGTTGAATGGATGGATGAATGAACAGATAGATGGATGGATGGATGGATGGATGGATGGACGGACGGACGGACGGTTGGTTGGTTGGTTGGATGGACGGATGGATGGATGGATGGATGAAAGAACAGATAGATGGATGATGAAAGAACAAATAGATAGATAGATAGATAGATAGATAGATAGATAGATAGATAGATAGATAGACAAGCGGATAGACAGACGATTGGACAGATGGATGGATATCTGGGTGGACAGTCATAGTCTTAGGTTAGAACATTGAGAAAAGTTTGTACAGCAACTCATCATTAATTCAACATAATATCAGTGCACAAAACTACCAGCTTACACAAAAGAGATATTTTGGGTACAAACAATATTTCCAAACAACAAAATAAATACATTTTTGTACTCTACAGAAGAACTGAGGTCATATACAGTAGGTTTGAAACAAGTAAATGGTGACAGAATTTTCATCTTCAGGTGAACTATTCCTTTAAGACTTGGTTTAGATGGATGGACAGATTGATAGATACTGTATGTGAATGTATGGATAGATGGATAGATAGACAGACAGACGAAAAGACGAATATACAGATGGACAGACAAATGACAGATACAAAGACGATTGAATAGATGGATGGACAGATATACAGTACAGATGGATGGACGGATGATTGGATGGATGGACGGACGGATGGATGGTTGGATAGATGGATGAATGAACAGCTAGATAGATAGATGGACGGATGGATGGATGGATGGATGGATGGATGGATGGATGAATGGGTGGATGGACGGAAGGATGGATGGACAGATGGTTGGTTGGATGGATGGATGGATGGTTGGACGGACGGATGTATGGATGGATGGATGAAAGAACAGAAAGATGGATGGATGAAAGAACAGATAGATGGATGGATGGATGGTTGGATGGATGGATGAAAGAACAGATGGATGGATGGATGAAAGAACAGATAGATGGACGGATGGATGGATGAAAGAACAGATAGATGGATGGATGGATGGATGAAAGAACAGATAGATGGATGGATGGATGGATGGATGAATGAAAGAACAGATAGATGGACAGACGGACAGATGGATGGATGGACGTACGGACAGACGGATGGATGGATGGATGGATGGATGGTTAGTTGGATGGATGGCTGAATGAACGGATAGATGGATGGATGGATGGATGGATGGATGGATGGATGAATGGATGGATGGATGGAATTCACACATATATAATCAGTTATTTCTTATGTTAACATTTGGGGAACTGTTGGGGAAAAACATTGGATGTGTAACATTATATTAGATCCATGCATTACACTATTGAACTCATCATTAAGTCAACATAATATCAGTGCCCAAAACTACCAGCTTACCCATCAAAACCCCACAGGTGGGCTGAGATGTTGTATGACTCAACTAAACTATTCCACACCAAACCTCCACAGACAGGTCCTGCATTCATGCGTTTGGTTATGTAACGTTGCTATCTACAGTGTTTGTGCTTCAAAAAAGATGTGAAGCGCAGAGCTCAACACATGCGGAAGCTGATGACCTTTAGTGGAACCTCAGAGGGTAATTTAGAGGCTTGGAGGTCAGAGCCGTTTCCAGGCGTGGAATGGACCAAGAGAGCCCACCATCAGCAGAAGAGAGCAATGTTAATGAGAAAAATGCAAATGGGAAGCTGGGAATAGTCCACTTGGCTTCCTTACTGAGGGATCAAGGGGAGTGGAGGGGGAAACTCTGTCTTGAGGATACGATGAAGAGAGGATGGGGTGAGGAAGATGGGAGGGCTTGACAGAGATGAAGGGAAGCTCATAAGCGGGAGTGATGAAACTCTGTGGGAGGCTTGGATCCACAGCAGATGGTCTAGTCTGTTTCTTCCCACTATACCTTTTCATCTATATACCTTTATATATATAATTTTAACTACATGAAATCTTTTAACTATTTTTCACTGATGTTAAAACTGATTATATTTTCTGAAATGAACAGATGAGCAACTTGTTATTTTATTCAATTGCATTAGAAATTACAATTCTCAAACAATAACCAGTTTGATATTGGTACATAATAACCCGACTCTGAGAAATTTTGGAGAAATTAAATTGTTCTCTAAAATGCTTGGTAATGGCAGCATTTGGCACAGTGAATCTCTGTTATAAAAATGTTACAAAAAGTTTAAACTATTATAATATAAGTAACATAAGTTCTTAGGAAAGGTGCAAAAAGATTTTTTAACATGTTTTTTAACTACATGTTTTGGGGTCAGTAAGATATTTATTTATTTATTTTTTAAGGAAATGCATAATTTTATTCAGCAAGAAAGCATTAAATTAATTAAAAATGAGAGTAAATATTTAAGTAAAGAATTTTAGAAATGATTTCTATTTCAAATAAATACTTTTCTTTAAACTCTTTATTTATCAAAGAATCCTGAATTGAACAAATATTACAAGTTACACACAACCAATTTCAACCAATAATAATAATAATAACAATAAATGTTTCTTGAGTACCAAATCAGCATGAATGATTTCTGAAGGATAATGTGACAATGAAAACTGTAGCAATGGTCACAAAATAAAATATATTAAAATAAAAAACAGTTCTAAATGTTAATAATATTTCACAGTATTACTGCTTTTGATTGTATTCTTGACTATCACAAGAGAAATATCTTACTGAGCCCGAACTTTTGAATAGAAGAGTATATAAAAGTCTTAAATATATCTATTATCTTCATATTAAAGATAATAAAGCTTTCACAATAACAAAATTAATAATATCACAATATAAATGTATTAACCCACTGCACGCTTTGTGATTTTACCGTTACTTTTTGCAATTGTTACTTGTCATATTGTATGATATAACCCCAATGAAATCTCTTTTGGATAAATGCGACTGGAGACTGTGTGAAATCAGCTGTCAATCTGTGTGATATAGATCTCAGGACTTTAGTAACGATTGACAGCGTTGAATGTGCGATCAATCATCTCACATTTTGACATCCTCATTGACAAACAAAACTGAAATTATATCACACAAACACGAGCAATCCCTTGAGCAAATGTCAGTAATGCTTTACCCTGAGATTAAAGGAAGTGTTCGACAGCTTAAATCGTTCAGTGTGCAACAGGCTTCAGTGTAAAACGCATATAATCACCAGTATAGGATCGGTTCTTTTAATACTCACAGTCTCTGGAGTCCTGTGTACAATTCCATGTCGACATCCTTAAGAATCTGCAATCCTGTCCAGTTCTCTATGTGTCTACAAAAGAAAGAGAAAATATTGAAAACAGCACCATTACCACCAATTTATTCAAGCAGGGGATATGTGTTTTTCCACTTGATGGCCAGGGCAGGAACCCAATGGAAGGTCCCTGGAGTTTTGAAAAATGTATCATAGTTCAGCGAGTGCTTGTGAAACATTCATCTCAGAGGCATTGGTGTGTTGCTTAGGCAGATGGCCTAAGGGTGCGATTACATACAAACCACACCGTGAAATAATTAGCAAAACAATTTGGTTCTCCCTAGACTATAAGGTCAAATGCATAGAACACGTGGGGAGCACAAAGGTAATTATCATATATACTGTGTAGAACAACCAGAGACATAAGTCAACTTGTATATGGGAGAGCAGGGATCACTGTAGCACTCAGTGAATGTACGGTCCGTAATATAACACACAGTGCACTCATTATAGCCATATCATGTGCAAGCTTCATTTAAACCTCTATCTCATCCCAAAATTATTTTCAGTGTGGGATCATTAAAATTTAAATTAAAACAAAAATACTTTTGTTCAGTCAATTGATCAAGTGATCAAATATGACACAAAAAAATCTTATATTGTTACAAAAAAAAAATAGATTTCAAATAAATGCTGTTCTTTTGGATTTATTCATCAAATCCTGAAATTTTTTTTTTGTATTTATTATTATTAAGCAGCACAACCATTTTCAACATGTATTGAAATTCAGTATATTAGAACGATTTCTGAAGGATCATGTGACACTGAAGACTGGAGTAATGATGCTGAAAATTCAGCTTTGCATCACAGGAATAAATTTCATTTTAAAATATATTAAAATAGAAAATTGTTATTTTTAATTGTAATAATATTTCCCAATATTACAGTTTTTACTGTATTTTTATATTAAATAAATGCAGCCTTGGTGAGCATAAGAGGCTTCTTTCAAAAACATTTTACTGACCCCAAGCTTTCGAACAGTAGTGTATATTATAAATATAGACTTTCTTATTATAGAAATATTTCAATTTTCATTACAATTACACAGCATTTGTTTTATAAATATAACTTGGTCCTTTGTGTATTTTTAGTTCAATGGTGTATGATTTAATTGAGTAACGACAGATACACTTCTTAAAAAATAGTTGGAAGCAAATTTTCAATGCTTTAGTCTATACATTTTCTGAAGAAATCCAAAAATCCAAGAGAAAATAAAAAGTTCCTCCTTCAGTGACAGTCTGTAGGATTTTTTCCCTCCCATTTATTGTCCACCAGGAAAAATTGCAGTCCGATTTCTTGGAAAAGTAATAAAACACCTCTCCTGAACAAGCCACACGATTTGACGTATCATTCATTTCCGTAGCACAAACGGTGCAGGATGAATTATGTGCAAAAGTTTAAGAGGTTTGTTCAAACAACTTACCCTAAGTATTAGCAATAATAAATGTGCTTACATGCACAAAATATGCTAATAAACATAAATGAGCACATTATAAAATCCCAGCCATGCAAGAAAAACATGAGATTTTAAAAAGCTTTTCTTTGTCAGCCGTAATGTCAAAACATCAATAGATATGAACATTTGTAAAATATACAGAATTTTAAAAACGGCATTTAAATGCAAAACAAAATTGTAGTAAAAAAAAAGTCGAGGGGTGTCAATTGGGTTCAATCACACTGATGCTAAATCCTTTCTGAATAAATCAAAATATCCAAGTGAAAATAATTAAAATTATTAAATTAATAATAATTAATTTAGCTCTCCCCTACCGTGTCACTGAAACACCATTATCAGTGCCAGAATATGCTTGAAAACACGCTTGCATTTAAATTCAGCTATTGCCAGGACATGCGGCGGCACTTCCTTTATTTCCTATTCCACAGGCTTCTTATCTGCCAGCTAAAACAAACACAATCTGGACAGAAGTGTTCCAAGCAGGAGAAATCACAGATGTGCCGCTGACAGAACACAACCACACACAGAAGCAAACATGCTTCCAGATCCACACACACCCTGACAATGCCACCAGGCCCTAAAGGACAACAGTGTCCCCAACTAAATTTCACTGCTAAAGAAACTAATCCCTTTTAGTTTAGTGACTTACATAGTGAATCAGTAAGACTGAAAATAATGTTTTGTTCAATAATCAGATATCGCTTGCAGGATGCACAAAAATCTATAACTGGGTCTTGGATGTCGTTGTTGTGATCCAGATGCATTGGAGCAACCCTGTTTATATAGCTGCACATCCTAAACCATGTGAATCATTCAAATATCAGTCAAAAGCTCTGAGCACATTTCATTTCAGCATCTGATGAAAAGCCTCTCTCAGGCTGTGTGCAAGTTCATGGCTGTTTTCTCCATAATCTTCTCTCTAGTCTCTCCATTGTTCCCAAAAACCCATGCTTGGGCATGATTAATGACTTTGTTTAAATTATCTACAGCACAACTACATAGAGCTTAATGGAAGAACATTTAATAAAACAGATTGTCTCAGGTGTGCTCTTCAGGCATTGATCGACACCTTCCTTTTCATCTCAGAGTCAGGCTTTGAGTAAAGAACCATAAAAAGCCGGAAACCAAGTCTTTCCATTATCTTCCACTTCCATTCCAAGAATAAAGAACGCTGGCGAGCACAATTATGAATTCAACCAATGAAATGATTTCAAATACTATAATAGCAAGCAACCATATCTGTAAGAAGGTAATACATTTCAACATGAAAGCTAGAGTTGGTAAACATTTACTCTTCACCGATTCTTCACTGGCGTTCCTTCTACACCCACATACCATCTGAATAAATGTAATTACTCGGAGACAGGTGTACAACATGCCTAATTTATAATGGATCTAGTCGGTGAAATTACAGCTGGCCTCCATCTGTTGCTGATTTCAGGTTTCAATCCAGGGTTTATATTTCCAGTGTATAAATACAACATGCCTCACCTTTACCGCTACCAAGCTATGAATCATTCGTTGGTGCCTGGAAGCAGATTTGCATTTTAAACGCTGGAAATATATGTGGCCTTAAAGGCTGATTTATACTTCTGCGTCAGACCTACGCCGTAGCTTACGCATAGACGCACACCCATACGCCGTAGCCTGACCTGCACCTCTCCAAAAATCTAACAGCGCGTCAATTCTACACGGACCGCAATCGCTGTGATTGGTCTGCAAGAACCCCTCCCTCCATATGTACTTGAGTTTTGTGTGTGTTTATGTGCACTTTAATATATTTTAATGTTACACCTTCTTATATAAAATAAAACAAAGCAAAGAACAAGTGTCTTATCATTTATTATACTACATAGCATTATACATCAGTAGTTGTCCGCAACAAACAATGTTGATCTGCCGTGGTACAAGTCCTTGTGCAGATTGAAAGAATGCCATCATCTCTTGTTTCATTGTTGTCTCCTTTTTGTAGTTTTAAATAATGATTTAATGATTTGATATTTATTTGCCGCCGTCACGGCTATAATGAGCTGCTTCTTCTTCGGCTTTTGCCGTGGTACTGCGGGTTACATCAGCAACATGCCCGTGGACACTGCTGACTAGCGGTTTGCATGTGTACTGCACGTTGACGCGGACAACGACGCAGAAGTATAAATGAAAACTTACGCATAGCCTACGGCGTAAAGGCTACGGCGTAGGTCCGACGCAGAAGTATAAATCAGCCTTAAGTGAGACAGCACTTCTGAGGTTTGTTAGCATTTGTTACATGGCAGTTAGAGTATGCAGGATATTTTTTTCTAAATGAAGAACAGCTGTAATTACAAGAAGCTGCACTTACATTTTCTGAAGAAAATGTGAGTGGTGTTTGTTTTGTAGAGGGTTGCCATGTGCTTCCTAAGGCTCCCAGGCTGGTTGTCAGCATGTTGCCAGAGTGTTTTGGATACTTACTAGGTGTTTGCTACTGTATGGCGTTCAGGATGGTCAACAAAGCAAAGTTTCTTCCTCAGTTTAATTCTGTAGGGGAATTCCCCCCAAATGTATTGTTGTCAGGGGAAAAAAAAGAACTGCTTTCTAGGAAAAATAGTAAAACACCTCTCTTGAACAAGCCACATAATTTCAGGTATCAAAAAGGAGCACATTACAACATTTACTTTTTGTTTTTTTCCACGAGTCTTGATGCCAAAACATCAATAGAACTGAACACTTGCAGTTAATGTTAAAAAAAAAAGTTTTTTTACATACAAAATTAAATTGGACAAGGAAACTTCTTGAGCTTTCACAGAAAAGAGATGCAACAGATGCACAGCAGAGATCTATCTATCTATAAAAAGTGGATAACCCTTTATGGTTGTCTTGCTACTGGTGACAAGATGAACCACCACTTGCATTAACATAAATATATAAATATGTCAGATTTATAGTTGAAATGGCAAAGGATATATAAAAGTTTACACCAATTATTTTTCTGTACACATCTCTGTGACTGGTGGGATATAAAAACCTGTGATGTTCGTAACAGGTGCACAAATGGGCTACAATGCGTCAAACTGAAGAAAATGAACAAAGTAAACACTCAAGTGTTCTCTGATATGGAGCTTTCATTCTAGTGAATCGGTTCATTTGGACAGTTCATGTAAATGAACAGCTTCACAAAGATGACTCACTGAAATGACTTAACTCCTTACATTATTTAGGCTTACTATATAACATAAATGAGGGTGTTTTGTTGCATGTACATTAATTGAGATGAAATAAAAAATATGGCTTTGATTAAATTGTAACTTTGGTGAGTATATTTTAGTTATAAAACATAACTTTAGGACCTAACAAGACTATAGTTTAAATACTTAAAATTATTATTTGCTTAACAAAATACACTTTTTGAAATGAGCTTCCCCAACACTGGTTAGGCAGATACATTGTGAGACAGCGAGGACTAAATGAGATACTGCAGCTGAGAATCGAAAACTGGAAATGAGTGAAATGTGTATCGACTGCTTTGCTCACTGTAGACTTCTAAAAGTATTGAAATATTGAGCTTTCTGATCAATTAGTC